TAACCATTTCCACCCTCATCCACTCTACATAACCATTTTCATAAGCGGCTATGAGATAAGGAGAGTGATGGTTGATAATAGGGCATCCCTTAATATCTGCCCCCTAAAAACTATCTTGAGAGTAGGATTATTCCAAGCAGACCTTGAGGCTTAAAATATCTCAGTTGCCGCATATGACGGAGCTCACATGCAAGCTTTAGGGATCATCTCTATCATCCTCAAGATCAGACCAATAGTCCAGATCGTTAGGTATTATGTCCTTGACATCAAACCTTCATTCAATATGTTTATCAAAAGGCGTTGGCTTCATGAGAACCTTGCCGTAGCATCTACCTTACATCAATGCCAGAAGTTTCCAATCTAGGGTGCGCTCAATTGTTGTCACAATGGCAAAAGAGGAAATATCTAAATATTCCAAAATCCAAGAAGTTCCTCTCTTGGCACAAAGAAACAAACTGCATCTTGATTCATATAGTGCAAAGAGAACCACCTACCTGGACAATCGATAACTTTTAAGTTGTCTGAACAATTAAAAGATTGTTATGACCGATACAACTTCAGTTGGTATACGACATAACACATACTGCTAACTCAAGGATATTGTTTAAGCTTTGACCTCAAAAAGAATGAACAAGGGGTCGTTGAGGCAATCACTCACCTTTAGCGAGCTAAAATTGACACAAAGGAGCGAATATGATTAGCTTGCACCCTTTTTAAACTTCAGTGCAAACTCAAGGCTTCTCAGAACCCAGGTTTTGTTTTCAGAGGAATTCAAAGTCTTCATAAAAGGATTGAATCTCTTCCAAATCCGACAAAGCTTTAGGGTTAAGTCTGGTGCCATGGTCAAACCTCCAAAAGGATTGGAAGAGGGAGAATGTTGCCCCTCAAGCAACTCTCCTAAGCTATCAAATACTTTATCTTCACTGTCAGATTCCTCATTAGATGCTGGGAGCCAACCTCCACAACCTCCATGAAGAGGGGGAGCCTACGGGATGGCTACCTCTCTATGAATCCATCTCGATTAGCCACAGCAACACCTCCAGCCTCCTCCGCATCAATCACATCAGTAAAGTAACCATCCTCAAAGCCCATGCTCTCTTTTATCTCCTAGTAGTCTCGACTACTTCCTTTATTTCCTTCACATCAGACTCCTCCACCACCCCCTCCATGAGACCCAATAAGAAGGTGTGCAGAAGAAGAAGAAGCACTCGTTGAAGGAGAATGAAGAAAACAAATGAGATTATCAAAATTTGGGAAGTCTTTGGGCAGTATTTATAAATAAAAATCATGATCTAAAAATAAACTCAAGGCTCAGAACATGGTTATCAGCTCTTTGAGGTTGTTGAGTGGTGTGACTCATGATGTGTCATACTATCTGATTCATGATGCATGTCAATGGACAATTCATCATGCGTCGTGCTGCCTAATTTTCTCAAAAAGTACAGAATTCATCCCAACTTTGAAGTTGTGGACTACAAAAAGCAGTGTCTCAGTCACCATAGGATCTCGTCCTCAGCATGACGTTAAAATGTGACCTTGTCCTTAGCATGATGTTAAACTACACGATCTCGTCCTCAACATGATGCTAAACTACACAATCTCATCCTCTGCATATGTTAAACTATGCGATATCATCATCAGCATGACGTTGAACTGCATGATCCCATCCTCAAAATGATGTTAAACGCCATAATTTCGTCCATCATTGTATGGCGTTAAACTGCTTAGAGGGCTCCATAGTCGCATGAGGTTAAACTGCTGACTGTCTCATTTCAAAAACATCTCAATCTTCAAATTTTCTTTGAATTTCTTAATTTCTGAATTTTGAATTCTTTTTTCTTAATTTCAATTTCTTAATCTATACTTCTTAATTTTTATTTTTGTTTAAAACTCCAAATACAGGGGCGACTCCATTTGGATGCTTTCGAAGATTTTATGTTCGTTATTTCAAAAACCCTAATTTCTTTGGTTTAAATTATATCCCGACATCAGATCTTGTTTCAAGAAAACTTCTTCCTAGTTTTCAAAATTTTCTCAAAAATGTTTTTGAAAATGATGGAATTGGATCGATCATGATGACATTGCCCAATCATAAAAAGCCTGTTTTTTATCCAAGGAATCTATTTAAATCCCACATACCAGGAACTGTGGACTTAAGTAACCAACCAATTTGGACATTTAGTACTTAAATACCGAACTTGATGATATGATGGAACCCAGGCAGCAAGCCCGACAATTCCTTGGTGAAAACATTCGAGAGATGCTCAGATTGTAAACCCTCAAAAGAGAGACCCAGATAGTAAACCCTGAGTGGACTGGCAGATGATGTGTCGATGGCCTTGATGGAGCGACCATCCTATGACCACTTAAGCCCAGCTTTCGAGTATCTGATATCTACTTCTTTGCCTCTCATGTTCTGGGGAACAGTGAGTGCCAAAGAGGGGCAACTGTAGACACTCATTTTTTACTAGATAGAAAACCTAGGGGACACATACCACAGACTGACCATAATCCATGGGACCACTCTAGAACAAGCCCAAAACCAGGAAAATTGCTACCAAAAGATCAGTTAGCCGCCCAAAATCAAACCCATAACCACCCCTGTAGCAAAACCAAGAAGAGAAGATTATGCGAATCATGATGAATTACACATGTGACTCATCATGCATTGCATTAGTCAAATCCATTATTTTGACCCATAAACTACCCAGATTTAGTTAGAAAACGTTCAACACGAAATCAGGAAGACCAACAATGTGCGACTCATGATGCATCACACAAGTTAGACCCTACAATTTTATCCTGTAAACTTCCTAGATTCAGTTAAACAACTGTCTGCCATGAAACAAAGGAAGTTGCTGTGTGCGACGCATGATGTGTCACATTGTGCGATACATCATGCGTTGTACAGTCTGTTTGTCTCCTAGCTCTATATAAGCCCAGTTAGTGAGGATGGGTGAGAGACTTTTGGGACATTTGGTCATTTTTTAGACTCATGGCCCTGTCTCCCTCTTTCCAAATTCTCTTCGTTTCCCATTTCACAAACTAAAGACATTTTGACCCAAATCTTAGACTTCATAATCTCATAACCTATTAAGAACCTTGAGATCAATACGAAAATATTAATTGAATTAGAACTGGGTGATTCTACATGAACTAGTCTGATCTGGGCCTCGATTTCGAGTGTCGGACCATCAAGCCTTGGCTTGCTATGAGTTTGCATTGTTTTCTTTTATTTATGTGTTTATTTTAGTATTTCAATTGTTTTCCTTTGAGTTATGGCTCCCATTTTATGTTTTTTGTTCCTCCTTCGTACTCCAATTAGCCAGCACGAGTGGTGGCCCATTGTTAGGTCCATTCCATTATGGAATCGACTTATCTTTGGACCACAATTCGACATAATTCCTTCTCTACCCTAGGATTCGAAATGTTTAAGGCAAGATCACCTCGAGTGGCGAACAATCTATAGTCCGATTTTTGTTGTAAACAATTTTGCAAAAATTCATTATTTTTAGTGTAACAATTTAATTCTTATAGGTAACTAAATGAAAATATAGGTTGCTCCCTCAGGTACAACCTAAACTAAGATTATTTTTTGGACCCCAAATTTTAAGGATTTTACCCTCTTTAACCTAATGAGCAAGATAAAAAAAAGGTTCAAATTACACATTTTAGGTGATCAAGAGAGCCACTCACCGTTTGATCTTAGATCCGACGTCTCAAAGTATTTTATTTTTAGTTTTTTTATATAAAAAATGTATGAATATGAAATTTGGTCCGTGTCATCTTCTCATTATGGTGCACCTATAAAAAAATATGAAAAATAATTTTTCGATAAAATGTAATGACTAAAATACCCTTTAAAAATTTCAAGGGTATTTTGGTCAGTTTATTTTATTGAAAATATTTTTTTTATATTTTTTGCTAGTGCTAGTTTAATAGAAGATTGGACGTCCAAAATTTGGTGTCAAAATAGTTTATAGAAAAAAATTAAAATAATAGTGTAGAGACGTGACATTGTGATTGGGACAATCTTAGGCCTCCATAATGGATGGTTGGACCGACCAGGCAGGACTGAGCTACCTGCTCCTCTGCCAGCCCTAATGGTAATGGAAATGGCTCTAGCTTTCATTGTCCATCCTTGACAGTGCCAGTGGTGCATGTGACTAGTTTTTCTGTGGTCATATGGATCATAGGATTTCGTTCCATTAACTTCACCATCCCATCTTACTCCTTCCCTACCATCCCATCTTAGTCCTTTCCCTTGATAAAACCCAAAATGATTCGGCGGTCCTACGGTACCTAAAACTCGAATACTCGATCCTCCTGCTGCTTGGTTCACTGGAGGAAGCGTTGTTTGTCTCTGTTCTGACAAGCTGCAAGCCATCGGCCATGTAATTCTAGCAACATGATTCTTACAAAGTTCAAAACCCATGAAAATCAATGCTCTCTCTCTCTCATGAGTCTTCTTCCCAACTCCCCTGCGTCTATGTCTTTCAAAATTCTAACTCAAGAAAATCCGATCAAGTCCCTTCTCTCTTTACAGTCTTGTTCCTCCTTCCTCTTTAGTTTAATAATCCCAACTTGCAACTGTCCAAAGCGTATCTTGCGTATGTCTTCAGTCTTCCCAACCCAAGAACCTCAAACCAATACCCTCGCTACCCCCCTCATCTCTCTCTAGACTGTCGTTTCTCTCTGTTCTTTTTCTTGGTCTTCCTTCTAGTCATTAATTAAAGGTTCTTCCTGTGATATACTAAAAGGTTCTCAGTCATGGATGATGATTGATAGTGCATAATAGTCAACAGTTTTAACTTGCTGCCTTACTTTTGTTTACAATCCCAATGAGACTCCAATTTGTGTGTGCGCGACATCCAATCAACACAAAAATCGATTTTAAGGCTCGTTTAGTTCAAGCAAGCATGGTTTTAGCCCATGGCAAGGCTCTTCACCTGTGAACCTGCTGAAATACAAATCTGATTTTCAAGGACTTTTTTAGAGAATTAACTGTCAAATCGGACAACTGCATTCCATTGAACTTTGATTGAGATCCATTATTTTCTTCTTGAAAAATCTAATCTTCTCTTCTGACAAATACCGGTACAAGAGCATCCACAAAATATTCAACTAATGCTGTGGAGTTATAAACAGCAAGATATAGATCAGTTGAAAACTGCATTCTAGTTTCTTGTACAAAACTTTTACAGCAACAGTGTCACCTTACCCCATATTATTCATATTTACATAAACAGCAGTTGAGTGCTTGTTTTCCTTTGCAGCATGATAAATTTAGAACAAATGAGAGCGAGAGAGAGAGAGAGCTCTTCTTTCTCTACTGTCTTTGATTCTTTGGGGGCACTTGCATTCAAAATACACCCGCCTTCATTATACGGTGGGGGCATGCAATGAATGGAATCTTGAATAGATATGATAAAGCAACCAGTTGATAAAAATAGATTTCCCTCTGCATTGACCCATATAAATATAGTTGCTATTTAAAGAGACTTGATAGCAGAGTCAGTGCTGAGCCTCCATGAGATCGGACAAAGTGATCTTCCCAAATTGCCCAACATCCATTCTGTCAAACTGGTTGCAAATCTGCACAATGTCCTTCTCGTCCACTTTCCCCATCTCCTTCAGTTTATATATCACATACTCAGATTTACTGCCAACATAAAAAACAGAGTATATACAAGAATTAGATGTGTAGTATAACAAAAGGAGCCAAGTATTATGCCATACCCATATAAACAGAACCAAGAATCCATACTATTTCTTAAATTTTTCTATCGTTTAAAGCAAAGTGAGTAACTAACAAAGTCATTCAACCCTATTATGAGAAGAAGCCATTATTTGAACCTTTCTCTCTCTCATGTGAATCAAATGAGCCATCGTCTACGTGGATGTTTTTTTTCTCAGTTCTGCACAGCACATAGCATAAATGCAAAAGTTTGTGTTTAATGATCGAATACATGCTCTGTTCTTAGAGTTGGTTAACCCTGAGAAAACAGTTGCCTGAAATGTTCCGAGCACGAGGAAAATAAGATCAGCTAGATCCATAAATAAAATACTCCACATTCCTCCACAAATCGCCAAGCCTTCACCTCCAGATGAAGACTTTCAAACTCCAGTGAGAGAATTTCCTCACTGTAACTAACTTTTCAGCAAAATCATATTTATGAATTTTCAGGAAAACATACCACTTGAAAATTTTAATAGTTGGAAGCAAAGTTGCACCTAGAATATTTGAAAAGCAAAATGTGCTAACCTTTGGAAAGATATATGCAATATAACCAGTTCTATCATTGTCTAACTCAACAAAGACCATGACAGTTTGGTTAACCTTAGGTCTGAGCTACACACAATGATTTTGAGTGGTCTAAAACAATGGGCGACCTTCTTTCTTATCTTGAACCCCCATACGGAATCTTCAATCATTCAATATAAGTAGACATCAATAAATCCAGAACCAGAGTGACAAGTTTAGTGTTTTGGATTAGAGTGCAAATTGTAACTTATGACAGCCCCTCATTATGACCATTTCATACGTGAACAGGTAGCATATGCCATGGGAGGCCTTGGAATCTCTGAAGTGTGTTGTTTACCTTTGATGTAGTAAGAACCAATGCATATCTCTATATTTCATTGGATCTGGTGCAAGTCATTTGCACCAAAATATAACTGAGATTGTAGCAGATCTCTTTATATTGCTTAAGAAAACAGAAAATCCAAAAACGTTTTTCATATTTTTTTCCATTTTTAGTTCTCTATTTATAAGGAGGGAGCGAGGGAGGGAGAAAGCAACATCATTGATGGAGTCCAAAGAGTAGATGAATATGAATACATTGCATTGCTGAGCATGTTTTGTACCAGTGAGAGAGATCTATGGATCATCACGACATTTGATACATATTTCCTGCTCATACTGGTTCTCACATCAATTTAGCTGGGAGGATTTTGTACCAAAGCACTAGAAGATAGCAGCATCAGACATCTGACTACTAATGTTTGGATGCAAAAATTTCCCAACTGTTACTGGCAACATAGATGTTGGCTATTTTTAGTTTTCCATTTTCTTCTTTTGTATAATACAATCTTCTAATTTGTTATGCACTTGCTTTGCTTACCCAGTAATATGCATGCACATGCACATGTAAGAAACATACATGAAAAAAACTACTTCTGAGCTGGAAAAACTCACCTGAGTTGACTTGTTCAGTGGGCTAGTTCCATAAATGAACTTGGGATTATGTGGTAGCGCCATGGTATGTGTAGGGGATTAGCTGGGTTTGATCCCACTACATGGACCTATACTTATTTACCCAAAATTTTGAAAATACCAAGTTTCCTAAGTTAGATTTTTTACTTTCCAAGCTCGGACTTGTCACCATCAAGTTCATTTTTCTAACATTGATATACACATGCATTTTCTAGCACTGAATACACATGCACAAAAAGAGCAATCAACAAAAAGAACAGACAAAAGTTGCTGCATATGAGCATGTTTTTTATAATAACCTGACACAGCTTCTACTTTTGGAAGCTAGATGCTTGCCAAAATGGATTCACAAGATGCAAGAAAGTTTTTTAAATAATAATAATAATGATAATACAAACCCTTGATCAGTGATTAAGCTGAAGGCAGACCTACTTGACCTTGCCAATATATTTAGAGACAATTAAACTGTGTTTATGTGAAATACAACGATCTTAGTCACAGATTCATCAAGGGGCATCCTGAGCGGCTTCTGTCAAAGATACTGATTTATTTGAGTACATGTTCAGAGGTGAGAATGAAAATGGTCCATCAAAAAGTAATTCAACTCAGGAAATAGGGGAAAAAAAAAGTAATTGGGAAAACCAGTGAATGTAGTTTGCTTCCCATTTTCATGATTTCTTCTTTGAGAGAATGAAATTATGACATTGAGATGCAACTCATATCTCATAGTTCCTTTTTCGAATATGAATACATGAAAATGAGATTCAACTCAGATCATGAAAACGTATTCATGATTTCTTCCAGCAGTTTCTTACACCTAGATTCTTTACTAGAATTTCCTTCAAATAAAGAAGCTCAGATCTAGTTGCACTGGAAAATGCAGACAAGTAGAGGTAATACAGAGCTCAAAATCCAAAAGAAGAAAAAGGGAACTAGAAATATAACAAGAAGGGTGCTATAAAGGGACAAAACACACTGCCAAAAGAGCAACCGTTTCAAATACCACTCTTTGCTAGCATATGAACAACTACAACTACAATGATCTAACTTACAATGTGGTGATAGGGTACAGCTAATGTGAATGAGATAAAGATCCACATCCTCCATGGATGTGCTATCAAGAGGCCAGTTTTTCTTCAGTTGTAGTCATGCCACAACTCCTAGCTTGACACTCCAGACCTTTTCTGATAGGGTTCCTATTGTTTGATTTTGGAGTCACTAATCATGAAACTGGGAATGCTCCTCTTGTTTGATTTTGGAGCCACTAATCATAAAACTGGGAATATTTCTTCTTTTAATCTTCCCAAACCCATGAATGACGTCATGTTATTTGCACATTCAATGGCTCTACCTGTTCGCTTTCAATGCCAGATTCAGTTGCTCTATATTACTTAGCCATGAAAACGTGGCTATGTAACACCTTTTTCCATGGATCCTATTTCAGTGGTCAATTCATTGATAAAAGTGAATTTTCTTTGGTTGAGGGTTTCAGATTCAGGAAAATGATTGGAAAAGGCATTATGCGAACACTATTTCACAACAATCCCACAAAAAATTGTCTATGGTCCCAATTACTTTGTCTTCCTTTGTACCATTATAAATTAGGATATATTAATTCTAATATTTGAATACGCAGTTGAAACTGAATGCGGTTTCTATGTCTAGATGATATCATGATAGACAATATAACATATTTTATTTACTTAATCACAATTTGAAAGTCCTATTAGACAGGAGCACAAGAAAGATTCCCATTCTAATGTCCTGGATGACAGGAGCAACGGAAAGATTGCTGTTCTAATGAAGTTACGAATCACGCTATTGTCAATACTCTTAGATTGGTTGCATTATTAAGAGCTCAAGATAGCTCTCTCAATCTCAATGTTGTTATTTCCATACATGGTGTCATTGTAAACTCCAAAATATTTGACAATGAAACTGACTGAAGCTATCTCATTGAGGAAACGGGGATGGGCATGTGATCCCTAAAATGGCTATGTCAACTCCAAGAAACTGATTCTAGGAAGGGCCCCTGAATCTGATGCCAGTTTATAAGTGTCACGATCGCTTGTAAAATCTTAACTGGCATATAAGAAATCACAAGCAAACATTTAAACACTTTCGATGAATTCTCCCCAAAATGGTTTGTATTTTGAGGAGAATTTGAACACTTGTGATTAGGAGCTTCTGGGACATGAGATAAGGAGTTTAGGACTAAAACATTTAACTCCTTTGCAATCAATAATCCAGAAAACCCCAATCAATTCAAAATACATTCTTTGCTAAGTTGTTACTGCTCCAAAGTCTGAATTCCAGCCTTGTCCACCAAGAGAGATAGAGACAGAGACAGAGAGGGGGAGAGAGCACCTGACAAAGCCATTGTGGTCGATGTCGGCAACAATCAAGTCCTCCGCAGTCATGTCGCGGGCCAAGATCCTTCTAGCCATGTGACTGTGGCGCCTATCGACCCTTGCCTCCGCCAAGTACAAGAAGGCACGAGCCACAGCAAGTGTGGACACAAGCAACCAAATCGAGGCAAACGCCCTACCAGACAGGGACTTGAAGGTCCCGTCTCCATATCCAACAGTTGTAACTGACATAATCGACAGATACAAAGCGTCGATCCATCCTAGCCCCTCCACCAACCTTAACACCCCAATTCCAATCCCTACACACAAAACAACCACCCCTAAGGCCAAACCTACCTTCGTCCTAATCCTCATCCTCCCCTTTTTCACATCAACCAAGTAGTTTGGAGCTTGAGCAGTGGCCAACAGCATGCTCTCTTGGAGGTCTAGCACATGGCTCACCATTGTGGAGAGAAAGATATCGATGAAACCGAAACCTATGAGAACGAATAGGATAGAGAAGATTTTCGAAGCAGTGGATGATGGGGTGATGTCTCCATATCCAATGGTGCACATGGTCACGATGCAAAAGTAGAGGGCATCAATAGCAGGGTGGGTTTCGTGTCCTGAGAAGTTGTTTCGATTGAGGGCATAGATGATGGTGCCTAGAGAAAGATAGAGGATGAGGAGGACGAAGGCTTGGCGCACCACCGATTGGGAGGAGGTTTGGGGTTTAGAGAGAGGATGGGATGTTGGGTCGTGGATGAGGACTATCGCAGGCGCGGTTTGTGAGCGGTGGAGACGGTGGTTGTGAGGGAGGCATGGGGTACCCGACGATGGAGAGGGACGGGTGCCGAAGATGAGTTTATGTTTGAGAGAGGAAGAAGGGGAGGTTAAGGGTGGGGTGATTTCAGAGTGTTCAGGGAGGGGAAAGAGAGGGGAGGGAATGTCTGAGCCTCTTGTTTTGGGGCTGAGCAGGCAGACATATGGAGAAGAGTCCTCCATGGTCTTTTTCTTTTTTTCAGGACAGTATTTTGGATTTTGAGATGGGGAGAATCATAAGGTAGAGATAAGGGTCATAAGACATGGGTCTTGGTGTAATGAAAGAGAAACGTCAACTAAACATGACCGAGAGGGAGAGCTCAATCAAAGAAGCAGGAGCCAAGCAGTTATAAACCAGTGTCATGAACTACAGATGAGCTCTGATTGGACTTAATGGTGAAGAGTGAGGGGAGTAACAGATATGACAGGAACCACTTATACAAGTGGTGAAGCGAAGAAAATTAAAAAAATTACCGGAACTCCTTATACAGTTGGGTGAGAAACAGTAGCATAAATAAATTGACAGAAACCCCGTGAAGCAGGATCAGTTACAGTTGTGTAAGAGAGAGAGGGAGGAATAAGTCAAAAGAAACCCAGCACTGAGTGAAATGTGGATCCTGAATGAATAGATTGTGGAGAAGGGTGAAGAAATCAACCGGCAATCTATCAGAGAAATGACAGAAGAAGTAAATGCAGTGATGAGACCACCTGAGTAGGAATATAATAAAATAAAAAAGAGATTGTTGCACAAGATTGAACAACACAAGAAAATACATGGCGGTTGAACGGAGTTAGTTTTGGACTTTTGGCATTATATTTTGTTGTTGTGTCATACGTCCTTGTCTTTTGTACATCGGCAAAACATCATATAGTTTTTTAAATTATAACATATAACTTTGATGTAAAATACTCTTAGCATTATCTTAAAACCTATTTGCATATCTAATTATAAAATTTTAAACTTCAAAAATAATTAAAATCAAATAGATCTATAAATATATAAAAATCTAAACAATCTACTTTCAAGATAATGTGTTGTAAGATGCACTTGAGACTCAAAAATATATATATTTTTTTTTTCATAGTCATACATCTCGTTGTTCGATGTCGAGATGATCAATTAGATTGGTTTTCAACATTAAAACAACCTTTTTCGATGTATTTTTTATGTGCATCCATAGTTCTACATTTTAAGGTTGCAACCGTGTACAAAATTCCCAATTTATACTTTTACTTCCCCATTTAAAAAAAAAGTGTTTTGATACCGCACTATCCCTTTTTTTTTTCTTTTTTTGTTAACTACCCCTAAGTAGAAAAATTAATTTTCGGGTGTAGTTTGCTTAAGGTTGCAAAGTTAAACAATCCAATTAAGACACATCTCTAAATTTTATCATAAATATAATTTTGATAAGAAAAATTCTTAAGATGGCTTGTAAATATATTTTTATCTCTAATTATAAAATTTTAAACTCTAAAAATGGTTCAAATCAAGTAGTTCGATAAACACAAGAAAATCCTGAAAATAGAATACATGAAAATCTTGAAAATGGATGGTCTAGATAATGTGTTGCAAGTTACACTATTTCGCGGACACGAAATCTTTTTTCCTTTTCGTATTCGTACATTTTAATATTGAGATGATCAACTAGAGGTTATTACAACATCCAAATAACCTTTTATGATGGATTTTTTAGGTGCATCTTTAATTCTATATTTTAAGGTTGCAACTTTATTTAAAATTTATAATCTCTTAGTGCATTTTCCAACATCCAAACAACTTTTTATGATGAATTTTTTAGGTGCATCTTTAATTCTCTGTTTTAAGGTTGTAATCTTATTTAAACTTTCTCCTTAACTTTTTTTAGACCAGACTACTTGTTTTTTTTTTATACCCTATTTTCCACTTTCTCTATGCCGGTCAGACATAAAATATAAGGGAAACAATGGGCCGCACTAGACGAGGCCGCCCGGCCTATTGTCTACCCTAAAAAAAATGAGCTAGACGACTACAACTTGTACAAAGCTTGTCCGGTGCAATTTTTTTACCTGAATGGCTCTATGTTCAACTTGTACGGTTCTAACACATTTTTGGCTGTATGCCGAAGCGGCAAAAGCTCCGGTACAAAAATTGCACGGGACCGATACGTATTGAGCTTTATGTTTTGAAAACATAGGACATGGGGCTTTATTTTTCATCAAAAAAACTAACTTTTGGGTTGCAAAGACACAGAAAAATGGTGTTAGGTTTAATAAGATGCCTAGAATATCTATAATTTTTCCTTTCGCAAATTGCTACCCAATTCTTAAAAACTTTTGCATAGCTGCTCAGGTAAATATTTTAAAAACTGCCCCTATGACAATCTCCTTTTCTCACAAGCCCGAAAGTCCTGGCTTTATTCATGTTCTTTACCAGTGTTCACAAAATCGAACGGAAACGGTTAACCGGACATGGGCCTGTAAGCAGTTTAACCAGCCTAACCAGTAAACCAGTCGATTCAATCGCTTTAACTGGATAAGTCTCGAGCTGTCAAAAAAGTGTTATAAAAATAAAAAAATACAAAAAAAAAGCTACTAAAATATGAAAGGCATATAAAGAATGATTGAAGCAAAACACATTCAAATGAAATTGAAAATTAATGAAAAAATAGATTTTATTTTATTTTATATTTTTCAAGGGCTATTTTTAAAATTTTCTAAAAAAGATGAGGAAATATAAAAGTGAGTATTAATGACCAAAACAATTTTTAATCTTTACCCTAATGTAAAGAATATTTAAAAATGCATTATAAATCAAATTCCTTAATTTTGAGAATTTATATATATATATATAGATAAATATTTTTTTTAAATACCGGTTGATCATCCTAACCACCCAAAACCGAAACCGGCCACTGGTCAGTTCCGATCTAACCGCTAACCTCCTGGTTAGATCGAGCGATTTTGCAAACAATGCTCTTCACCCAATCCAAAAAAATTGTCTTCCCCACCCCACACTGACCCTCTCTTCGCTGGAGGATATAGAAGGTGGTGTTATTCTTCACCCTAGACCCAAAAGCCCTAGGGTTCATATCTTTTTCTCTCTCACAGTGTCCATAAATAGAAGGACCTAGTTTCCATGCGGCCAAGTCCGCATATGTAGAAATGAGGGTCTCTTAATAAAATCTATTTTTGAGATGGATTTTAAGCCTTAATTTTTAAAGACATGTAATATCTAACAATGAGATCATGAATATGAAAAAATAAATAAATTTTAAAAACTAAACGTAATAATTATAGTAAGAAAACATTTAAACCGTTAGTTTTCATTATTTTTAGATGTAACACCTACTTGCATCTATCTTTAAAATGGATACTTTATACTTTCTGGACTGCATATGTAGAAATGCGGTCCAACCCGCATGAAACAATTTTCCTAAATAGAATAACAAGGACGGTAAAGGTGCTTACGTTAGAAACATAAAGCTCTAGATATTCAATTTTTTGCTTATCTCATTGTATATGAAGGTGATGAAAGAGAGTTTGTTAGGTGAGAGAGAGATATCTTTAGGATTCAGTAAAGAGAAAGAGCTAACGAGTTTTGGCAAAGAGTTTTTTTTTTTTTCGTAAGGTTAACTTTTATTAGTGTGGTTTGCATAACGCGACAACCTTAAACGAACCAAATCAGGTGTACCTCCAAACTGTAGTGAGATGTAACTTTAATGCTGAAAATTTCAATAATGACCAGAAGAACTAGTTTATATCTAATTTTAAAATATAAAATTCAGAAAACTGGATTATGCAAAATTACAAAAACTTGAAAAATATTGAAAATGAGTGAATTAAATAATGTATTACAAGATGCACCATTTTTAGATCTTGAAAACGTTATTCCTTTTGCATACTTCTCAATGTCGAAATGATAAATTGGAGAGTTTTTGAGCATTAGAACAACTTTTTATTTTAGGGTGTAGTTTGTATAGAGCCTAGGCACTAAACAATCAAATTAGAGCCCACCCTCAAATAGTATCAAAAAATGTGGTTTCACTACTGAAAATCTTTGTGATAGCCTTAAAATATATTTTCATCTTTATTTATAAAGTTTAAAGCTTCAAAAATAATGTAGATCAATGGATCTATGAAAACTTAAAAATCTTAAAAATTGACAGTCCAAAAATGCGTTACAAAATACACTATTTTCAAAACTTGAAATCCATTCTTTTTAAAGGCTATGCATCTTGATGTTGAGCTGATCAATTTGATGATATTTGGGCATCAAAACAACTTCTAGTAAAAAATTTGAGCTAGGCTCAAATTTGATTGTTTAGAGCCTAGGCTCTATGCAAACTTTTCCCTTTTTTTATGGGGTGGCTTTGAAGCTTTCCTTACTTTTACAATATAAGGTTGACACATTAGATAAAATTTATCCAAACTTTTATTAAAAATAGTTTGTAGAACGAGGGATGTATAGATAGAAACAAAGAAATGGAAAAAATAAAAATAAAAATAAATATCATAAAAAGAAAAAAAAAAAACTTAAATTACCAAATAAAAAGTACGAGAGAAAAAGATGAAGAAAGGGAAGGAGAAAAAGGGGAAGAGAGGGTTGGGGGCACAATGAAGAAAGGAGGAGAAATGAATGAGAGACGAGTAAAGGGTAGGAAGGAGAAGAAAGGGGAAAGGGAGAGGTTGACGAAGAAAAGGGAGTGAGGAGGGGGAATGGAAGCCTAGAGGGCCAAATCTTCATGTCTGGGAGGATGTTGCAGCATATGTTGTGTGATTCTAAAGCTCTTGTTTGTCAGTTGGTCTGCTTCGTCTTTCTTTCTATGTTAATGTGGTCAAACTGGGTCTTCTTTCCTGATAGAAGGCATCTAACTTCATCCGGTCCAAGTCTCAGTTTTCAAAAGGCTTTGACATTCAATAGTAACACATTAGTTGAGTCTCCGTCACTGATAATATTGGCGTTGCAATGAAGAAATTTGCTTTTATAGCAATTGATTTTCCTATTGCTATAGAAACAACTTTGCTTTTATAGCAATGGGAAAATTAATCCCCAACCTATTTCTTGTTGTACATTAAAAACATCTTCATCTCGTCAATGTTTTTCCATGCATAAGAAGCAATGTTTGACAATAGTAATTTTTTTGCCGATAATCCATTTCTTCGATACTTATTTTGGAGAACAATTTTCAAGCATTCAACGGCAGTCCACCACCTCTATGTTAATGGTGCTCCATTTTCTCCAAATTTCTAACCCCTTGCTTTCTTTGGTAAAGTGACTGAGGCCCAATTAGCCAAATGGAAATTTATTTATTTCCTCCAAACCACTCTATTGGAAGTTCCTCATCATCTTCCAATGCTGAAAGCCGTACAACTATGAATTTGATATGGTTCTATTCCGCTCATAGGAACTCGATATGGTTCTATTCCGATCATAGCATCAGAGGCTTCTTTTTGCTCTTTTTCGGGCTTCTTCTTATTCTTTTTTGGCACCTATGGTAGAGATCGGAGGTATTTAGTGCCCAAAAAGAATTGGGGTTGAAAAACTTCAATTATGGGTGGCAATTTAAGAGTTATACCTCCTACAATAGAATAACCAACTTCTAGCCGTAGGCCCCCAAAGTTAATAAGGACATTTAATAGAGAGAAGAAAGGGGTGAGAGACGAGGAGAATTGGTGAGGTCCAAACTCTCGTAGCGATTCATTGCCTAGATTATGAGTCCTTAAAAATTCTAAAATCCATCTCTAATATGGATCCTGAAGGGAGGACTCGTATGAATAGATGACTAGGAGGACTTTTGAAAGCTAGATTCATTTTTAAAATATCTCTCATCATTTCTAGTGGGAAATAGTTCGTATAACATCGCAAACTTACGTGTAGAAGGAAAGATGCAGTAATTTATATAGTACATTTTAATTGGATAGTTTAGATTTT